TTCCAGGACGCGTACGAACCCTGTATAAGCTAAGTTCAGAGTCAGAGCTAGCAGTTAGAGAACATATGATACAACAGAGACAAAGTTCAGAGTCAGGGCTAGCAGTTGGAGAACATATGATACAACAGAGACAAAGTTCAGAGTCAGGGCTAGCAGTTGGAGAACATATGATACAACAGAGACAAAGTTCAGAGTCAGGGCTAGCAGTTGGAGAACATATGATACAACAGAGATGAAGTTCAGAGTCAGTGCTAGCAGTTGGAGAACATATGATACAACAGAGATGAAGTTCATAGTCAGGAATAGCAGTTGGAGTACATAAAGCACTACAAAGACAATGAATCAGGGCTAGAACTTGGAGCACATAAGGTATCAGAGAGACTACATTCAGAGTTAAAGCTATCAATTGGAGTACATAAGGTACTGCACAAGCCAAATTCAGAGTTAGGTCTAGCAGTTAGAGAACATAAGGTACTACAGAGACTACGTTCAGAGCCAGGGGAGCAAAAGTACTATAAAAGCCAAGTTCAGAGTCAGAGCTAACAGTTGAAGCACATAAGGTACTAGAGAGACTAAGTTCAGAGTGAGGGCTAGCAGCTGAAGCATATTATATATTACAGAAGCCAAATTCAAAGTCAGAGCTAGAAGTTGAAGTACATAAATACTATAGAAAAACTATTAAAATTATGAAATTAATCTCTATACAAAATAACTGATTTGTGTTTAGAATACGAGTTTAATATAAGAAAGACCAACAAAAATAATTTTAAAATTACATAATTGTTAAATAATTAAGTATTATGAATAATAAAGATTTGAAATAGAAATAGTTTGTGTAATGATGTGAGAGATATTTTGATAAAAGTTAAAAGTCAGTTACTATATAAACATGTAACCCTTAAACAGTAAAAAAAATAAAAAAGAACACTAAAACAGAAAAACTGATGAAAACAGATGTATTACTTTGGTGACTTAAACGAAAAGAAAGTTTTGTTGGGAAACCAAAATACAGTGCATCAGCCATAAGTTGGTATCTACAATTGTACATGACTAAAGTATAAACAAGATTAGGTACCAATCATGCTAAAATTAAATGTAAATATTTTTTTAAATATAGCTACCATAAAACTGACAAAAGGTATTGATGAAAATAATTTTCATTACCTGGAATTCAAACTGTCGGGGAACACCGCATGGACAGGAAGGAATGTCTCCAGCTTTTGGTATGTTTTCCGAAGAAACCCATAATGGCTGACCACCTCGCTGATAACGAAGAACCTAAAACAATATAAATATGAAAAACTATTATGTGACAAATATGTTAAATTATTACCATAATGTCTTTTATAAAAATCATGAATCATTTCTCTAATCATTTCAGTGGTTGCAGCTAATCATTAATTACTGAGAAAGGACAGTTGCACTAATGATTATTTGGAATGTTTTCATTCAGATGTTCAGAACTACAAGGAGGGAAGATAGTCTTTCTGTGAGTTGTGTGTTTGTTAGGAGAATGAAAAATGTCAGAGACAGAAGACTGAATATTCATACTGAGAGGTCTGAAAATCTAGATGCAGTCTTATTCTTAGACAAAAAGTTTTTTAACATAATATTTAAAGACAACAAATGCCCTGCTGGTCCATTAATGATACTAGCCCTGATGATGGTAACTCTGTTACCAAAACTAGTCAATTGTAATTAGTAATGAAGATTTTACCTTTTATTGTGTCAAAAAATGTCATTTTTTGTTTTTCTATCTTAATATAGTAGCATAATATGCTTGAAAAGAAATTCTCTCATCAATTACATTAAACACTTAAAAAAAATTAAAACCTTTAAAGCCAGCCTTTATCATTTAGATATTTATCAAGCCTTCTCTTAAGTTCCCTTAAATTTACTGTATCCAACACATCTGTAGGCAATCCATTCCAAGGGTCAACCGCCCTGCCAAAAGTTAACATTTTCTTAATCAAAAATGTATTTCCAATAATGCATACCTCCTCCCACACTACAGCTATTACTTGACTGCTAGGGTTTTTTAACCTTTGCCCATCTAAGCATTGGTCTGCATTTTTCTTGCTTGATGCAGTTTTTTTATTCCCCACCTAACTGCCCTTGGCAATATCTGTCTTGTGACACTCTCCACCTATGTCAGTGCACCCTCTATCTTGGTACTGTATATAAGCACCTCCTTCATATAATATTGTCACCTTTTCGAGACTTGTCCAATCCACAGTCTCTAACACCAGTTCTTAGTGGGGAGCAAGGGTGGGAGAGTGTAAGAGGAGGTAAGTATAGCATAAGAGGAGGTAAATATTATTGGAAATACATTTTTGATTTAAGAAAATGTTAACTTTCAAAACATACTTATCTCTATTACATACTACAGCTAGAATCCCACATTGATAAGGTAGAGGGGATGGTGAGGGCATTATCCATACAGAATGAATCTGCATAGCTCATGGGCATGGCAATAGACAACTAGCACCCAAATAGGAGAACCGCACTACATCCAGAATTGGTATGCTCTTCACCTGGAACCTAAATTATGCATTGTGGGTGGAATTTGATGTGATCCATCATCACCATTGGCCAGGTCCCCAACCAGATAGCTGAGGTCCCACTGCTCGGAATTGGAATTATAGGACCATGGTCCCTAAATCCCATGTTAGTGGCTAGGGCATTTGGACCACAACATATATATATTTGTGAATGGATCCCAACCTGTAGCTATAGAGTGATGCATTTTGAGACACTGGAATCATGATGAGAAGGTAAGCAACATCGAAGTGGACAAACCCTCTCCTCAACCTGAAGAAGTCCGAAAGGCAACACCCCAAACTCAGAATGACAGGATCCTATATGCAATACTCAACCTGAGGACACAGAACTCATCCAGTCTGGAATTATGAACACTCATGCTCATTCCCCAACCGTGTGGGCAAGGTAAATTCCCTTGCCCCTGGAATTATGGGAAGGATGTGGAACAAATGATGCTCAACCAAGGACAGGACCAATCTGCATTTGGAATTACAAGGAGACAATGGACCCTATTCTATGAACAATATATTGAACCAATATTGATCAAAAAGAAGGGCCACGCTCAACCCAAATGGGAAGCTGAGGATCAAATCTGAAACAGTATTATGAGTAGGCTCCCATATAGGCTGGTGCCACTCCTACCAATATCTAGGAAAAAAAAACATCCAGGGTCCCAAGTAGGAGGGCCCCCAACTTCGCCCTCTTCTGTAAGATTGGAGGAAAGTCACTCGAACACACTGGAGGAATAATCTCTGTCCACCACCCCTGTGACTGGAAACCGGACTGAGAGTGGTAATGACTCTCTAGCTCCACTAGTAGAAAATGGGGGGGGGGGTAGTTGCATGTTGGGGAGTCCTGAGGAACAATGTTCTGGAAACAGTGCAGTAGGTGAACCAAATTCTGTAAATTTTTAAAAGCAAACCAACCCTGATTTATGCAATCCACTGATTAGCAGGGACGGACAGGATCCCCTTAAGTTTTACTCATGATAGTCCATGAGTGGCAGTCCAGCATAGTACAGAAATACTACCCAGTCTGCCTCTAGGTGGTCTTATGGAACAACCTGTTGCAACCTAGATAAAATGTACTGTATTATGATATAAAAGACTGTTTGGTTTAAATATCAGTGAATAATTTATATTTGTGAGTGAATATTTTATTATTTTTAAATTTTGTTCTAATAAGAGTTAAAAGCAGACAATTGTAGAAGGTTTTGTTAATAACTAATTGGTGTCGAGAATATAGAAATTGGCCAGACAACTATGTAATAAAGATATAAATAATGTGAGACGAGAGAGAAGAAGCAGACAGACAGAATTAGACAGATAAAAGCAAAGAGAATACAGTTGATGTGAAGTTAAGTAACGTAAAAGTGAAAGGCCTAACAACTGATACAGGCCTAATATTTCATATATATATATATA